GGAAGTTGTTGTAACTTCAGTGTACATGCTCACATCTGGACCAAACTGTACATCTAGGATGAGAGTCCCGCCCTGAACACATGTACATGCCGACATTCACCCACAGTCATAGCGCCACCTGCTGGCAACAGAAAGTGACCTTTAACGAAGCAGCCCCCGCCGCACGTTTCACCTACGTGCACGAATTTTCTGTGGTACGTGTATCTTGTCCAGACGCACAAAAAAGTCTCTTGGAGCCATAGCCTAAACCAACAGGAAGTCGGCCATTTTGAATTTTACGTCAAATTTTGGATGATTTACACACTTCGTACTTTAACGAACTCCTCCTAGGGATTTAGTCCGACCGACCTCAAATTTCTGCTGTGCCTTCTAAAGGCATTGAAGATGAAAAGTTGTGCTATTTGCAAGTTTTCGTCAATGGGCGTGTCCGTGGCGTGGCGTCAAAGATCAACTCTTCGCCATGACACGGAAGTTGTCGTAACTTCAGTGTACATGCTCACATCTGGACCAAACTGTACATGTAGGATGAGAGTCCCGCCCTGAACACATGTACATGCTGACATTCACCCACAGTCATAGCGCCACCTGCTGGCAACAGGAAGTGACTTTTAACGAAGCAGCCCCCGCCGCACGTTTCACCTACGTGCACGAATTTTCTGTGGTACGTGTATCTTGTCCAGACGCACAAAAAAGTCTCTTGGAGCCATAGCCTAAACCAACAGGAAGTCGGCCATTTTGAATTTTACGTCAAATTTTGGATGATTTACACACTTCGTACTTTAACGAACTCCTCCTAGGGATTTAGTCCGACCGACTCAAATTTCTGCTGTGCCTTCTAAAGGCATTGAAGATGAAAAGTTGTGCTATTTGCGAGTTTTCGTCAATGGGCGTGTCCGTGGCGTCGAGATTCGCAATGAAACAGGAAGTTGTTGTAACTTCAGTGTACATGCTCACATCTGGACCAAACTGTACATGTAGGATGAGAGTCCCGCCCTGAAACATGTACATGCCGACATTCACCCACAGTCATAGCGCCACCTGCTGGCAACAGAAGTGACCTTTAACGAAGCAGCCCCCGCCGCATGTTTGACCTACGTGCACAATTTTCTGTGGTACGTGTATCTTGTCCAGACGCACAAAAAAGTCTCTTGGAGCGATGCCCTAAAACCAACAGGAAGTCGGCCATTTTGAATTTTATGTCAAATTTTGGATGATTTACACACTTCGTACTTTAACGAACTCCTCCTAGGGATTTAGTCCGACCGACCTCAAATTTCTGCTGTGCCTTCTAAAGGCATTGAAGATGAAAAGTTGTGCTATTTGCAAGTTTTCATCAATGGGCGTGTCCGTGGCGTGGCGTCAAAGATCAACTCTTCGCCATGACACGGGAAGTTGTTGTAACTTCAGTGTACATGCTCACATCTGGACCAAACTTTACGTGCTTGATAACTCAAGGGGTCATCTTCTCTGCTATTTGTGGACCAGTCAGACAGGAGAGCTCCTACTCTGCCTGCAGACATCAACGATCTTGCCCCTCACACAGTCAGATGGCTTCCTTCAGTGCACTGAGGTGTTTAACAACTCTGAAGACAATACTACCAGCAATGTATTCCTTCTCTTTTCATGTAGACGCTCCAACAGACAGTGCTTTCAGTTTGCTGCATGCATGGACACAGAACTGCGGTATAGGGAGAAGCACACGGTCAGCTGGCTGCAGCTAAATCTGGAGTGCACTCGTTTTCAATTCTGTATGGTAAATTCAGTTTTAACGGAGCAGAGCGAGCTGACAGGCAGAGTTAGAGACTTTTTCTGTCCGTTTCTCTCTTTACAAAGATGCATGTTGCAGTCAGAGTCTTCTCTGAGATGCGAGCACGACATACAACACAATTTATCAAATTACACATCGGATATACAGTATGAAAATAAGATTGATTGGATTATACTCACAGGAAGTATAAAACCTGTTACATGCGTCTATTAAAAGTAAAGTAACACAAAAATGTCAGGGAAATTACTTTACTTAGATTTCAGGACTGCAGTTGTACATTTGAAATACCTTCCTACCTTTCTGATAGGAAGCCTTCTTGAGGTGGTATAAAACATTTCTTCTTATATTCTGATTTGAGTTGTGGACAACTATGACCACATGAATTAAAAAAATTAAACATTTCACTGCCCAAGTCAGCTATAACACAAGTCTTGTTCATTAGACTACATGCTGTACAGTATTTGTGGACAGATTTTGTCCCAGGATTTATTATGCATTTCTTCTTCTTCGTTGCATGGTTTAGAATAATAAGGTGAGAAATGGGTCTGTTCTGAGTTCATCCTGCACTGCAGCAGCTAATAAAGTCCATTTAATCCCAAAAAGGCTTTTCTTTTAGGCAGGCTGGAGCAGAAAACAACTCACCTTTCTCAAGTTGTACAGTAATGTCACATGTGTATGAAGGTGGATCAAACAAGCGGCATAGCGGCAAGTGCTATGTAGCTCCACATAGGGGACACAGGAAGTGACATATAACACCTTCATGCGGCGTCATAACCGCATAGCACCGGCAGAGCTCCAGAATATGCAACTCGGCCGGCTCACACGCGGACGCGCTACAAGTGCGAGGGCCCGCCCAACGCTGCTTGCAGCTTTAATTTGTTTTTGTTTTTTGTTTTGTTGTTTTAACTGTGTATATTGTTGATATATGATCTGGAGTCTACAACAGGGTGTTTTATTTTGAAAATCAACCGGATTCTCTATGCCTTTCTGTCTGACTTTCTGCCCAGTAGTCTGCTCTGTGCTGACGTGGCTTCTGTCAAAAATAGACTGGCAGTGGAATATTAGCTAAACTTTTTTTTTTAAATCGCAAATTGAATCGTAATCGCAATATCTGGTAGAAAAACATGCTCGCAGCCGGGCACTGCCGGGGGAACGTGTGTAATATGAACAGCATCACACACTGCACACGGCAGATTTCTTCAGAATAAGAATTACTGTACAGGGTGTGTAATTGTTCTTTCCATACAAATCACAATGTCCACTCTCGTGGGCTCATACACAGTTTTTGTCAGGGGCTTTTCCAGGCTCTTGAAACATTGGGGGCTTAGCCCAGCACATAAATCTTTCATATTTTAACCCCCCTACCCCCCATTGCCGCCTACCCACAGTACATCTATAAAGCAACAGTAAATTGTATATATAGCCTACATTTATTATAAATTTTATAATTTCTACTGATAATAATTAACACTGATAATATTAAACTGGGGGGTCCTCCCCCTGAAAAATTTGGGCTTTAAACACTTAATTTTCTGCATTCTGGTGAATTTCTTTGCACCAATTTATTAAGGAATGTCTCGGGTGACGATTCAAAGTTGAGTCTACATACATGCTGGCATGCCTGAAGTAGCCTTCTTTTCAAATGTGCATATGGCACCTTTTCTCCTCAATGATAAATTAGCTTAATTAATCAGAATTCAGTTAAGAAATATTTATTGCCGAAATATCGGATAGGGGGGTCTGGGGCTCCTCCCCCAGAAGATTTTGAGCATTAAACACTTAATTTCCTGAATTCTGGAGAGATTTTCTGCACCAATTTATGGTGGAAATTAATTCTTTTTATAAAGGGACGGCCAAAAATTATGTGGCAGGTGACAATTGAAAATATAAAAATATAAAAGGATGTAATGCAGTAATCAGTAGCTTTTTGTTTATATTTAAATAAATGGGTTATTTTCGCGCATGTGGTGAATTTCTTGGCCCACAACACAAGAGACAGGGGGGGAGGGAGTGGGTGCTGTACGAGATGTAATTGGGCCAGCCCAATGTCAGTATAGGTCTACGCTTTATCGGAAGATTGTTGGCCCATTTTTTAAAAACAGTTAGGCCTATATAAATAAATAATTGACTTGTAGCCTACTCGATGAGATGAGCGCACTGCTCTTCATCAGAGGAAGAAAACCGAAACTGAAAACACTTGTGATCAGACAGAAATATCACCACAATTCCACACAAATGTTCACTTCAGCACTTCAAAAGGAGCAACAAGATTTCAGCACAGCTTTTTCCGACCCATAGCTTACCAGTTGTCTGCTCTGTGCATAGAGGGTCAGCCAGCAACAAGCAATCCGGGTACTAGATGTCATTAGCCGCAGCTAATGTGGAGCAATGGACACATGATGTCTCCCTGGTCGGCTGATCCAGGTGCAGACTGCATGTCAGCTTACCAGTAGCTTCTTGTTAGCTCAATATTAGCCTGACGTTATCCTGGTAGCCTAACGATAGCTTGCCTTGTCTCTTCAATTGTTATTACTAGTCCTACATTTGTCCATTTTTGTGACGTTACCTTCACTAGCTCCAAGTCAAAGCGTTTCGGGATATGTTAGAGAGCTAATTTAGGCAGACATTTCACAGTTGTGATCAACTCAAAATCAACAAAAATGATGATGCAGTGGAGAACACAAAGAACTGAATGTCTGTCTTTCACGCCTGTCACTATAGGGTATAGTTAGAGACCGTCTTAAAAGAAAATCCTCATCCAAAAACCTAGGTGATGAATAATCTTTCCATTGTACTTAAGTAGACTGCTAAAGTCTTTTACCCCTGCTCCTCAGGTCCTCTGAGCAAGTCTTGCTAGTTGTACCTCATTCAAGACTGAAAATACGAGGAGACCTTGCATTTGTTGTCCTGGGTCCTAGGCTGTGGAACAGTTTACCCCTGGGAGTCAGCCGAGTAAACTCTCTTGAGTGTTTTAAGTCACAGCTGAAGACTAATCCTTTTAGGAAAGTAATTAAAATGCTTCCAGATTTTTACCAAATCATTGGAGGAAAACTGTAAAACTTTGTATTTCTTAAAAAATGCCATTTCTACTATTTAACTTACTACCATTTATTATCTGATAAACTGTTTTTTTTTGTCAGTTCATGGGCCCCATACTTTTTTTTGTAATAGTGTGATAAAACAACATCTGTCTCACCAAATGTCCCATTTTATTCTCTATTCCTACATCAAGCCAACACTGCCCCTCTTGTCACAGCTACCACTGCCATTATGCCTGGTGAGGATAAAGCACCACAACATACCCGCCAGAGGAAAAAGAACAAAAAGTCCCACTCTAAGGGGAAGAGCCCAGGTGGGAGTCCCAGTGCCTGTCTGGAAGGCACCATAGACAGCCAGGATGTCCTTATCTTACCCCCAGTGCTCCAGCCTACTCCAGTGGAGGAGAGACCGAAAGTGTCCATCGCCAAAGTAGAGGAGGAGTCATCTGTTGATATATGTCTTCAGGTGCTTTTTCCCTATGTGCTGGCAGGGATGGGTATGGTGATGGCCGGTATGGTGCTGGACAGTGTAAAGGTAAGTGCACGGTCATGAGGCTGGCATTGACACAAAAGCATCACATTTGTCAAGGTTTATTCACAAATTGAAAGTGTGCACATTACTTCCTAATAACCTAAGTAAGTTTGATAGTGGATATTTAGGGCCCAAGCACGAGAAACATTCAATATGGAAACACATACATATCCCAATAATCAATGATAACCATAGCGGCACCTACTGGCAAACGGAAGTGAACTGTATAAAAATAGGCCTGCACGCGCCAAGTCCATGTGTGATTTTAACAGCCGCTCACCTTCAGGTACGGTCTCAAGCATGTTCGTCACTGTTGTAAGTTTATCACCACAAGCTTGGCTTTCCATTGGTTTCATCATCTGGTATCATTTAACACTTCTCTGTACATTTTTATTTGCTATTCACATTACTTGTAACTGATTGATCGCTGCATTCCAATACATCAATTAAACACTTTTGTGGGGCAGCAGCGATCAGCTGATTTTATTTCTAATTCTATTTCACTCTTCTCTCATTCAAACATAAAAATTCACAAGCTGTAGTCTTTCCTCATATAATACTATCGGTGAGGATGACCAAATTAGGATTAGGAGGATGTGATACAATTTTCCAATACTTTTATTTGAAGTTCTTTGAAACAAGAAAAAAAATAGTATAGATAATCTTGCTTGTCCATAACAACAATAAAATAAAAAAAGGCAACCAATCTACTATGGCTTCAACAGGAGGCATTTTATGCAAGGTATTGACTGAAGTACTCTACTGGTGTCGGTATCACTTTAAGGGTACTGGATTTGGTACTGGTATCTTAAAAAAAAAAACACCCAACCCTATTTGCAGTGTACATGCTCAAATCTTTATCAACTTTAAGATGTTTGATAAGAGTCTAGCCCTGAACACCAATATTTACTCATAGTCATAGCGCCACCTACTGGCAACAGGAAGTGAATACTTTTATGATGTGATAAAGTCATCCTAGCAGGTTGGCCACAATCACTTCAAACTGTCGTAGACAAGCTTCTGTGAGTTTTTGCCAATGGGCGTGTACGTGGCACTTGGGGTTGCACGGTTCCTCTATAGCGCTTCCTAAAGGCTTTTTAGCCATCACATGACTTGGCACGCACGTCAGAAGGACTGTCTTTTATTGTCTGAAAGGGTTTGGGGGCGTGGTTGGGGAAAATTGGCTCAATAGCGTCCCCTGCAAAAAATTTTAAAAGCAGTCCCTGCCGTACATTTTACCTAGCCAACATGGTCAGATCACATGTCATACCCTGAAGACACTTACATGTCATATCTGGTCATAGTAATAGTGCCACCTACTGGCATCAGGAAAGGACATGTTTCAAACTTTATTTCTTATGCTTCATTTATATTTTTACCCCATATAGTACCTTAGCGGACAAAAATATCCATAGTGAGGCATACATGCTCCATGTCAATATCCAGTCATAGTGATAGCGCCACTTACTGGCTTACAGAAATATTCAGTATCTTTACAGTATCTTTACCCCTTATAGTACCTTAGCAGACATGATGTTGCCTTGGTGAGTAATTATTATGATTAATATTATGATATAGAAATGTAGCAACTTCCCAGGGCTCTACAGTGGGAGCATTTTGCTCGCATATGCCCCTAAAAATTGATACGTGCGAACAGGAAAAATGATGTATGAGCACAGTATGTGAGTACCTACAACCTACCTTAAATCCAACACCCCACCTGCTGTGCTGTGTTGTTAGCACAACAAGCTGATCGGCATGCAAGGGTGTTATGCCAAATTTTGCCTGCCTGCCGAGAATTGCATCCACCTCCAAATAATGCTTTTAAATGCTATAATATTCTTTGTGGGCTTCATCAATGGTGATAAATGATTCGGAGTATATATTTTATGAACGTTTAGAGTCTTTAATATTTTAATACACTTAGGAGAATTACCATTCCTTGACATTCAGTAAATATATGTGGTGATAACGCTGTTTGATCAATGAGCACAGCAAAGTGTCTGACAAGGACCTAAAGAGGTGGATTCATGATTCGGCAGATCAAATTATGTAGGCTACCTGCCGAGATTTGCACCCATCTCTTTTCTCAGCAAAAATTACTGTTAGCACCCTGCGAGGTGCATGCAATTCATAAAAAAACAAACCAGAGCCCAACTCCTTGTCCACGCTGCTTTCAAGCCAATACTATGTAACACTATATTTCAAGCAGCCTTAAGATGCTTTAGAAAAACAGAACAGGATGAATAATCACTGAAGCTATTGGCATATTTTATTACATTACCTTATCTAGCCAAGGTGTAACTAATTGTAACAACTCATACCACACAATTTGTATGTATTTTTGATTTCACCCTTTAAGAGTTCTTAGTGCACAAATATTCATAGCCATTTATGCTGGGGATACTGGGGACGTGTCTCCATCACTTCGTTTAAAGCATTTGTTAAATATGTTCTGAAAAATGGCTTGCAACAAGAAATGTTAAAAAACAAACAAACAAATGAATATACTTTGAGAAAGGTTTATTTGCACAATAAGAAAACATGCAATGCAATTTAAAGATTAAAAAAACAAATGTGCATTGTTCAAAAAAGTTGAAGCTAAAAAAATCTGATTCACTATATTTAAATAAGACAATTCTGCCATAATTTGGTGCAGAAAATGTCTCCAGAAAGCAGGAAATAAAGTGTTTAGTGCTCAAAATTTTCTAGGGGGCCTTCATTTAAATATATTTCAGCATTGAATATTTCATCAAACAGTGTTAAAATATCTTCTTGTCTTGTTCTCGTGAACCCAATATTGTGAATCGTGTAGTAATCGTAAAGTGTATCGTCACATCCCTAATCTGAATCCTTATGTCCCACCACTTTTCAACACAAAGTGATGTCCTTGATTCATTTTATTTTATCAAAGTACAAACACACCCCAAAAAGCTATAATGTGTTAAATATGAATGTATTATAATAAAATGTTTTATTAAATTCATGTAACTTTGTAAATAATTTTCTCGGGCTTAAAATTAATACAGATTTTCCATTAAACAGCAGTGAAGTTGGTATTAAATTTCATCCTAGGTGGTCTTAAAAAGGTCTTAAAAAGTGTTAAATTTAACTTTGAGAATCCTGGGGGTACCCTGCATTATACAAAACCAGAGACAGAGTAAACAGAGCACAACTTTTAAATGTTGATCTCATTGTTCTGCTTCAGTGTTTATAATTATTGACAAAACAGTAGCATTAACAAATTAAGAAACAAATAGAGACTGTTTTGTTGCACAAGGATTTACTGAATGAAAACGACCCACAAACGTGAAACTATAAAACTATTAATTTTTTACAAACAGTTCACTTTAAAATGAACATTAAACTTTAATTAAATAATATTATATTATACTAATACACTCATTTATATTAGTTATTTCTCCAGATTGTAGATAGTGCCTCTGCAGTGGACAGATATAGATTTAGCCACAGTGTACATTGTGCCAATATGTACTTCTTCTAGATGCCTCCTCCTGATAGCAACATGCTCTCCCTGTTCTGTTTGATATTGTTTTACTCAAGTTATTGTTAAATATTGTTCAGTCATCATGTTTACATAAAGCGTGTCGTGGGTTGTATGGGTGGTGCTGGTGTTTCATGTCTCCATGGACGGTTCAAAAACAATGTGTTCTGTGATGAGTGTTTACACACATCACTGTGATGAGTGATCAATGTTTTAAAAAGCTGTTTTCAATGAGTCAAATTTTCAAAACCTCTGTTTCAATATTATTCAGATTATTACGGCCCGAACAGCGACCACTGGGAGGTCCCTATTGTAATTGTTAGAATTATTCTTATTATTAGTGCCCGCACAGTGACCACTGTGAGGTCACTATTGTTATATTATTATTATTATTATTAGTGTGAGAGATGTAGCTCTTGTGATAACTCAGTTCATACTGCACTGGTCTTGAGAGCAACAGTTAACTTTGTAGACCCCGGTTCAATTCCCACCTCGGCCCACTGTTGATCACAGCTGCATGGTGTTTGAACTTAATGCTGAGAACATAATCTTTAATATCCACTGACTTGCTGTGGTTGTTTTTAAATTTGTATATTGTTGATCTTTCTAAATGCTGACATTGTTTACATGGAATATATTTTTCATATTAGTTGCTTTCTGTGTCTTCATGTTATTTCGCAACAGTGGACTAGATGTAACAGAAAATATATTTACAAGCAACACAGTGCTGTAGCAGGCATTTGTGGTCATAGATTGCCCTCTATTGGTGGGGGCATTACATGTTATGTGACCAAACACAATCAAACGAAAAGGTTAATAACACTACCGAAGCACTATGTCGTAGTAGGACAGTGGTTAAGGCATTGCCTTTCAGATCTAAAGATTGACGGATCAGTTCCCAGTCAGAGTGTTTTAACAAAATGGAGCAAAACTGAAAACTGTTATGCATTCTTTAAGCTTTAGGTGGTGCTACAGGATTTTCAACATCACATATACAGTTGTATGGTCCCGCCCTGAAGACATCTACAAACTCATAGTCACTCATAGTCATAGCGCCACCTACTCGCGATAGGGAGTGGCTTCTGATTTTTCCTTCAACGATGTATGCTTGGCGCTGCACCTGCTTGAATAAGTACCAGACTTTAAATGATTGATAATGGGCCCACCGCGCTTTAAAATCATCAGATACTGTTCCAATTTAGATCTCCAATGACTACAATTTCATTTATATTCAGTCCTGATAAAAGCTGCATTAAAGAAGGTAGAGCTTCACTGACAGCTGAAGGTGTCCTATAGCAACCACCAACAGTAATATTGAGAGTTTTAGAGACCTCAATCAGAATCAGAATCAGCTTTATTTGCCAGGTATGTGTACACATACAAGGAATTTGACTCAGGATTGGACATTGCTCATGATGTGCTTACTCATACAATACAATAATAAAATCAGATACAGGCTACAGTATAGAGAACACATACACATTATCAACACAAAAAC